CAAGGCTGGGCTGGATGGAGCTTGGAGCAACTTGAAATAGTGGAAGGTGCAACTAGATGAGCTTTCATGTCCCTTCCCAAACCATTGGGGTGTTACCCTCATCCAGCCTTTTCACCTGGAGAACAGCTAATTCTGAGGTCTTCATCTAGTTGATGAAGGAGAAAGAGATTACAAGACACAGAATGATAAAAAAGGGGTTGTGAGGGAAAAATGCAGTTTTCAGTTGCACAGACTGAAGTTTAGGTGCTAATGAAAGCTGGGGATGTGTAAATGCTTCCTTTCTATCAACACAAACAGCTACAATAAAAGCTGTCAGATGGTGATCAGCTGGGAAATCTTAGCCCTACACAACATATCCAAGTTTTAAGAAAGAAATCAATATGTCACTTTAACATCTTAGTGATTTTTTAAAAATGTATGTAGATATAGAAATAAACTTGCACATTAATGGCCATGGTGACAAATTTCACACAGTGAATGTAGGTCTATTTTATTATTATATGAACAAAACCAATCATGATCTCTGGAAAACATACAATTCTTGGTAATTTACTTAGTTTTTGATATCTTCCTTTCTGTATAAAGGCAAACATTAATTAATGAGTGCTAGATCATCACCCTTCAAATGTCTTTAGAAAAAGAGATTGTTAACAATCTATAAACAATAGAAGATCTTCTCTAAAATAACTAGAAAATCTAGTTTAATTTGGTGTTTTTATTACAAAGTATTTCATATACAGGAAGAAGGGGTATTAGCCATTACAGGTCGCTGTTGACCTCTTGTGGTCCCATTCTGTGGTTACAGGAAAACTCTAAAGCCAGCCAGGAGTTGGACATCGATGCTCCTTGTGGGTCCCTTCCAAAGCAGGATATTCTATGACTCTGTAATTCTCTGATAGCCAGGAAATCCCTGGAATTCTCCCCTGAACCTTTAAAAGAACAAACCCAAGATTATTTCTGCAGCATAAGACTGGAATAGAAATCAAATGGTTGTTTAGAACAGCTTCCTTCCTGTGGAGGAGACTAAATGGTGATTATCAACTAATAATTATCAGATAACTTATCAGTTATCAATTGTTAACAATTGTATTTAAATTCATTCAATACTAAATTAAAAAAGTACTCTCACTGTTAGCAGCCAGCTCTTTCTTTTCCAAAGTGGAAAAGAACAAAAATGACAAAAATTACCAAAAAAAAAAAAAAAGATACAATACAACACGATGTTCAAGCATTCAGCTAACCAAGAAATAACAATTAACAGCCGGAGAAAAGGCAATTAGGGGACAGGAGGAAGATGAGAAATAAAAGAATGAAGATCCAGATTACTTTCAGCAATGATAAATCAGCATTTAGGCCGCTCCACACAAAAAACAGTAATTCCCTCTGGAAGCTCTACAAGCTCTTAACTTTCTGTGCTAGTGAAAGATTATGTGATAAAAATTCACCCTGGCATATTGTCTTCTTTCTCACAAAGAAAACCAAACCCAAACATGTTAACAAACAGCTGAAAGAAAGCAGCATAGTTCTAATTGTTACTAAGAAAAATAAACAGAGCAGAAGCCCCCTCCATCTCAATAACAGCAATTGGAATTATTATATAATATATAACAGCAATATTATCAAGAAAGCAAAATTCTGTTGAGCTACACATATTTGTGAAGAAGATTTAAATTTGCACTTTTATGCTAAGCAGGAACAAGGAAAACTGTAGGTGATCCTATGGGGTTTTTCCTCCCTGCAATTTCATGCTCCTGCTACCTACAAAGATAAAACAATCCAACATTTCCAGTGTGAAAACATAGGTATTGCTCTAAAAACAAAGGAATATTCAATAAAATAGTGAAAATAATTAATTAAAAATGAATAGATGCCGTTGTGTCTGGTGTCCCTGTTTTATCTTCTGGCATGTGCCACATTTCCTCTGGTCCACCCCAATGCCAGCAGCCACGCAGCAGCTGGTGCAGCCATCTGTGACCTCTCTGTCCCTCCAGGCTGCAGAACAGCCCCCAGCTGGTTTTCCCTGCCTGGGAGGGTGAATGGGCAAACATGGGAACCCTCTCCTAAGGAAATGAACACAATCCTAAACTGACTCCAGGAAACTGAACTGTGCTGATTCACAGAGATGCCACGAGGTGGCAAGTTAGGATTGCATTAAACCCTTGTACTCTCACAAGAGCAGCGAGGGAAAAATCAAACTGCAATTACTGAGATGGGAAAGGTGCATTCATAAGAACCATTTATGCAATCTAATGTGCATATCAAAAACAAAAAAAGTTTTGAATAATAACAATAATTTTGGAATTATTTCCTTTCTCTGTCTTTAAACTTAGCAGGATTCTCTCACACACTTCTCCAGGGAAGGGGTTGTCACGCCCTGGAAAAGGCTTCCAGGAAGGTGGTGAAGTCTCCATCCCTGGAAATGTTCAAAATCCATGTGGGCATGGCAGCTGAGGACACGGTTCAGTGCTGGGCATGATAACAGTGCTGATGCTCGGTGATCCTGTTCCAACCTTCATGACTTTATAATTCTATTTCCCTTGGTAGTTTCTGTTTTGTTTTAAATAAGGAACCTAATATCACAGTTTAAAAATATGTAATAACAAAATATATATACAACTGTTCACTTTCAGTGGAATGGACCCAAACCTACATGATTCCACTGCAAGTAAATGTTTTTTTCTTGGGGACCAAGCCAGGCTAGCTGTGGGAATATGTTCAGTCAGGATCTGTTCAGTATCTGCATGCACACGTTTGTATCTGAGGTATGGAGGATCTCCACCCCACACAGAACGGCTCAAGTGCCACAAATCCCATGGCTCCCGTGGCACTCTGCATTTTGCACTCCATGTTTGTGCCTTCAGTAGATGCAGGGAAGCACAGGAGCACTCCCAGCTCCTCTCTGGGAGCAGGACAGCTCCTGAGTGCCACTCCACCACCAAGAGCTCGTGATTTATTGTTAAATGTGATTATGTCCTGTCAACAGCACACTGTCACTTGAAAACTGTCTTCTTGAGGAGATGAAGAGGACAAAACTGCTCTTCCAGGCTCTCTTCCCTCTGTTCTGCCACGAAGATTCTTTGCTTGGTATTTTCCCTGTTTTCCAAACACGGGATGCTCTGAAGGACCTGGTGCAGGTGACCTTGGGCCCAAGGAGGGACCCATGGCTCCCTCCTATCCCCGTCTGCCCCATTCCTCGTCTCCCCCATTCCCTGTCTCTTCCCATTCCCTGTCTCCCTCATTCTCAGTCTCCCCACAACCACAGTCTCTCTATTCCCAGTCTCTCCCCAATCCCAGTCTCTCTCCCTATTCCATTTCCCCGTTCCCAGTTCCCCCATTCCCAGTTTCCCCGTTCCTAGTTTCTCCACATTCCCAGTCTCTCCCCACTCTGTTTCCCATTCCCAGTCTCTCCCCATTCCCAGTTCCCTGGTCCAAGTTCCCCATTCCCACTTTCCCATTCCCAGTCTCTCCCCGTTCCCAGTTCCCCGTTCCCAGTCTCTCCCCATTACCAGTTCCCCATTCCCAGTTCCCCATTCCCAGTCTCTCCCCATTCCCAGTCTCTCCCCATTCCCACTTTCCCGTTCCCAGTCTCTCCCCATTCCCAGTCTCTCCCCATTCCCACTTTCCCGTTCCCAGTCTCTCCCCGCCTCAGGACCCTCAGTCCCGGGCCGGCAGCGCCCCCTGGCGGCCCGCGGCTCACAGCCCCGCCCTGCTCCCCGTCTAGCCCCGCCCCCTCGACTCCGATTGGTGGGAGCGGCCGCGGGGCGGGCAGAGGCCACGCCCCGTGGTTATTGAGGGGCGGGTGGGGGCCGTGCCAAGATGGCGGCCGGGCGGGGGACAGGGGTGCAGGCCGAGCGGCAGCGGAGCGGCGGGGCTGGGCTCCCGCACACCTCGCCCTCTCCTCCTCAGCCCTGGAGGAGACGGGCAGCTCCGGCACCCTCCGCCTCGCGGGCATGCAGCTGCGCGACCAGCCCAGCAGCGACAGCGCGGCAGCAGGTGAGGGGCCGCGGCAATGGCGGCGCTGGGGACGGGCGGTGCGGGGCCGTGAGGGGCGGCAGCGGCGGCGCTGGGTGAGCCCCTGGGCGGCAGGGAGGGCTGCGGGGGGACCCGGGAGCGGCCGAGGAGCGGGCCCCGCTGTGTGAGGGCAGCGGGGACAGCGGCGGCTCGGCCTCTGGGGGCTCTCCCTGCGGCAGCGGGGCGGGCTCGGCAGTGTTGGGTGGTTAGTCTGGTCATTAGTCTGGTCATTAGTCTGGTTATTAGTGGGCTCTGTCGCCGCAGTGATGAGGGGCTCCCCTTCTCCGCGTGTGGGGATGGGGCCTGCAGGGTGTGCAGCGTGAGGGGAGCTCCTGAGCCCGGGGCAGTCGGAGCCCCGAGCCCAGGTGGGCTCGGACCTGCGGGCTGTGGATCCCTTGCCGTGAAGCTGTCCCGGTCTGTCCTTCTCGGCTCAGCAGGAACACACTGCAAGTGCCGATGTGAGGGATGTGTGGTGGTAAAAGTAAACCTTGGACAGCTGCACAAGCAGGGCAAAGTAAAGCCACCCCATACACATCACTCTGCTAGTGGGAAAGCCCAAATGAGCAAATTTCTTGATAACATGCGCAGAAAGAGCTCTTCACATAACACCAAATGAAATTCTGGAAAAAGGAATCGTTACTGAGTGCTAGTTATTTAAGTAACTTTTTCCAAATATTTCCCAACAGATGGATGCTCATGAAGAAGGAAAGCTGCCAGGGATGAGAAGACCACTGTTGAAGCAGGGCACACTGCAAACATGACATGCTCTTTCATGCTTGAAGCTGGATAAACCTCCCTGCCTCAGCAGGTGGAAAGTGAAACCCAGGCCTGGAGCAATTCTGGTGGCTCATCCCCAGGTGGTGCTCCCCACTCCTCAGAAGCTCATGGCACTTTTGGGCTTTGCTCTCTTTGTTTTGGTGATCTCAGTACCACCTTTACACTGAAGTGTGGTCCAAGAGCCCTGGGGCAGCTCAGAATATCCTGTGGAAGGGAGAGAAATGGATGAAATTATGCTCTGAAAGGGCCCTGATATTCCATTGTTGCAGAGAGAAAAGCTATTCAGAGCCCAAGCACATCTTCTGTGCACACAGAAATTGGAGAGGGGAAGGATTGAGGAGCTGTCTGTCCACTGAGGGATCTGATCCTGCAGGGTTCCCTCACATCCAGGGAATATGTTTTGGCAGGGTATCAGGAGTTTTCCAAGCTCTGTGTTCTGTACAGTGACAGCAGAGCTACAGGGGCTGGATCAGGAGAGTCCTTAGCACCTCAGTGTTGGGACTGTGAGAGGCAGTCTTTCCCCAGTGGTCCCTGGTGTGCTGAAAATTAATTCCATCAGGATGGGGTTTACCCTCTAATCAGACAGCAGAGACCATTTCAGCAAGATGTTTTTGTTACTGAGCATCAAAAGTCCAGTGCAAAGCTCCTGAAGGCACTGTTTTGTCTACCAATAGAGAAAAGCTTTGTTATGGAATCAAAGAATCACCAGAAAATGAGTTTGGCTTTAAATCCTTCCTCCATGGAAGCGCAGAGTTGATTTCCAGGTGAGTTCCATACAGAAATAGCTTTGCATCAGGAGGAAAGTTGACATCTCAATGCCATGAAGGGATGCCAGGCTCCAGAATGAGCAAAATTGAGCATCCAGCTGCTCCAGAAGCAGCCTGGGACCGTTCCACAGAGTGTGAGCGTGCAGCTGCTGCCACTGTGATGTCAGGGCCCGCTGGGGTGTCGCTGAAGGGTTGGCAAGTCCCCACAGTGCCAACAGACCCTGCCATTCCTGCGATCCAGAGCTCCTAATGCCCCCTTCTCCTGGCATTCCAGGAGGATCCTCAGGAGTTCTCAGCGGGCTGCCTGCAGACCAGCGGGGTTTTTAGCTGGCTTTTGGGTTATGCTGCTCTGTGAGTTCTAGCACAGGCCTGCAGAAATGATCCCGCAAGTCGGTGCCACGGCGTGCGACTTTCTGTCTGCCGCCTCTGCGGTGTATTTTTATCCAGATAAACCCTGGCTGGTGACAGCTCATCTGGGCAGTAAGTAGTGCTTTGCCCGAGGTGCAGCATATCTGGCTTTGGGATCACTGTGCTCTTTCTTCTCTCCCTTAGGATCTGAGCTGAATTTGGAGCAGCAATGACAGTCAGATGGCATTGGTTTGGTACAGCTGCTGTCAACAGCTTCTGCTGAAAGGGGTGTCTCAGTGGGGACAGCATTTGGAATGTGGGGAGCCCTGTGGGGGTTCCATGCCCTACACACAACAGTCTGGGGAGTCTCTATTTCCCTCCCTTTGCTGCTTCAGCCAACTTCCAAAATGCAGACTGAAGAGCTTGTCAGAAATGCTTCTAAAAACTGTGCAATTATCTTCAGAACTGAGGGAAAACATCTTTTTTTTCCCCCATAATGAACGGATTTGACTAACAACCTGTGCTAAAATAGAGACGACCTTCATGAGGAATTGTAACTTCCCAACAGTGTGTGAGGAGCCCAGGAGCTGTTCCTGTGCAGTGTTAGAATAGAATTCACATGGCTAAGGGGATTTTGGGAAAGCTTTTCTAGGGAAGCATTTTCAGCAAGCTAAAAAGAACCAACATATGCATTTTAATAATTAAAAAAAAAAAAAAAGGGAAAACTTTAGCTCTTGGGCAGAGCAGAATCATTGACTATTAAAGAGCAATTTACATTTTCTTGACTGAGTTTCTATTTATTTAATGGTGAAACAACACAAAAAATAGACGGAAAAATGAAGAAAAAAAATCTGGTATTTTGTCCTGTTCTGTGGCTTACTATAGAAATGAACTGTTGCTCCTGTAGGGATGTTGTCAAATAAAATGCTCTTATTTGGGCTGACTTGTTCCGTGGGGGATGCCCCACAAGAGGCAGTTTTCTAACAGCATCTGGTTCATCTTCTCTTGCCCACTGCAGATCTGGTCATCCAGTTATCCAGAGGTGGATACATGACAGCCCCTCCTTTGGTGAGTGGGAAAGGAACCTTTGACATTCCTTGAGTTTAAGAGCTGTGGAGGAAGTGGTGAATGAGCTTTGCCTGCTCCAACAGCGTGCCAGCCTGAAAAAATGTCCATGTCTGGTTTTGCAGCAGCAGCAAAGCAGTCCCTCGCTGTTTCCTCAATTTCTGTTCAAAGCTTTTAAACAGATGAAAGTCTGGTTTTGCAGGGGGAAGATTGTGGGTTTAGCCATGGTGGAATATCTAATTCACAGCCATTTTCAATACTGTATAATTGCCCCATTTTAATTTAGTTTTACCACCTTAGAATTCCCTTTCTAGCAAGTCTCATGATTTATCTTTAGTACAGCTGGATATATAGGTGAACATAAATAAGTTTATAATTGATTATGTAACTCACTGGAACTATTGAAAGGAAGTTTTAAATAACAATCCACACTAATAAATGTTGGGTTGATATAACAATCCTAGAGAGAGAAATGACATCCACTGTACTATTAGCCAAATTTATTAGGGTTAATATTAAACATTTTAAATAGAGCACCAGTGAGGTGTGAAGGTGTAGAATGGTGCCTTTGATTTGCTTCAGTTCTCTGAGTGGCCTTTGTGACACCTTTAAAGCAGTTGGGAAACAGCAAATTTGGGGCAACTTGATGTAATGCTCTGCCCCTGCAGAGCAGCAGCTGGGGCTGTTTCAACCCCCCATAATTTATAGATATTTCAATTGTACTGTGACATGTGCAACAGAGATCTGAGGCTGTAGGACCACGTGCATGTCTAGATCAGTTTCTGATGTCAAAGCAGCTGAAAGTTGTGTTTATCAAACCTCCCAAGTGGCAGAAGGGAGACTCTCACTCCTGTCCCCAGGTCACAACACTGCCACCAGGACCTCAGCTGGCTCCTTCCCTTCCTGGACAAGAGGATAATGAGAAGGAGGTGGATGAGGAACATGCAGCTGTCACCTCAGGAGAATCAGTGAGTGCCAGCTTTGGTTACCATTGGTGCAATTCAGAGTTTCTGCTCAGCCAGCAGCTGCCATTCACAGCTGGAGGTGCTGAGGGCTGGGGTCCTGCCATGACGTTGTGCTTTACCCTGGAAAATTTGGGTTGAACTTCCCCTTTAGTCATCAGTTGCAGGATACAGGGGAAATTTCAGGATACAGGAGAAATTGTCTCTTGGATGTACATGCCCCTCTGCACAGATTATTTGAGAAAATCCATGCAAATTGAACACAAAACTGGCCATGAACTTGTTTTGGTTTTGTTCATTCAGTTTGTGATGTGGACAGCAAAAAGCAGTTTAAGAGCACTGGATATGGCTGACAGGCATCTTCCTGAGGGTTTGCATTTGGAATAGAAACTCAGGGGATCCCTGCCTGCTCCCTTCCTGACATTAATTTCTCACCACAGATCCACACGAGCTCTCTGCTGGGAGCTGAAGATGCAGATGATGAGACATTTCTCATTTCTGACACCCTCAGCAGAAGCTCGGGCGCTCTGGACAAACCCAGGGTCCGGCCGCAGAAGAAAGTCCACGTGATAGAGGAAGTGCTGGAACAACTGAGTACGTGTGGTGTGCCATGTCTGGGGTGTGTGTCCCAGCCTCAGCTGCACCATAGGGACACAGGGAGCAGGAATTCTCTCTGGGCATTCCTCAGGGCAGCTCAGACTGGGTTCAGTTTCTCTATGCTTCCATCTGTGCTGAAGGCAAAAGCAGGGATGGTTTCTGATTCAGCAGAAGGTGCTTTGACCTAATGAACTACTGAATTCCTGAGTACTGATGACCAAATCAAGCAGGATATTTGGGTTCCTAAATTCTCTTTAGTCTGCTGACAAGTCATTGGAGCAAAAATACTTCACAGCAATCTATCAGATTGAAGACAAGCAGTGTGGTCCTTCAAACGGCACAGGCAAGGTTATCAGCAGAATTTAGCCTGGTAACCCATGATGAGGGTCTGGATCCTAAAGCTCCATCATTATTGATTATAATATGAGATGCTGTTCTTTAAAATCCTAAAGACAATCCTTTGGTGAACTGCTGAAAGTTGGGAAGGTCCCCTTCTCTCCTGGAAACACTTTGCACTGTTTCTTAAAAATGAATCCCAGAACCCAAGGTGCATTTAATCTTCAGAAATATTAAACCTTTTGTTGAATCACACAGAGGGTTTATTCCCGGGAAAATAAAGGCTGTGTTGTTTTAGCTCTCCTAAATGTTTGTAGAAAACAAATTCTTGCTTTAGTACCTGGTCTTTCCTGATTTCTGTCTCCTGTGCATATTTCTCCAGGTGCTTTGTTTCCTGTCAAGGTAACTCTTCAAAGCACTCTAGAAAATCAGAAAATCCATGGAGCCATCTGTGCTTTGGGGCTGCCTCTGTTGCTGTTGTTGCCCACAGAGGGCTCACAGGCAGTGGGGCTGCATTTCCATCTGCTGGAGGGTGGTGTCTGTCTGAAGTGAGCATCCTGCATTTCGTTTCTTTCAGGGGGCATTGTGAACGAGGGGGACCCTAAGACCAAATACACTGAATTTGTTCAAGTTGGCCAAGGGTAAGTCCCTCCCAGTTACTCCTACAAGACCATGGGCTGGGCATTTTGCTGCTGTAATATCAAGTGTGAATCCATGCAAGCTCCAAACATGATGTGGGTTTAGATCCTCCCATCTCAGTACAGGTCAGAATTAATAATTATGGTCAGAAGGGGTTGTCAAAGAAATCTTGACGCTGGCAGTGCCTCACCTGCAACAAGGAGCAGATCTGAAAAATCTCCCATCCCTCAAACCTTATTGCCTAAAAGAGCACCTTACCACCCCACAGCTGTCAGATAAAAGTTCTCAATAACATTTATTTCAAATATTTTGCTTAAAAAATGTTTGGTAATCTGGATTATAACCACAGTTTAGCAATTGAAACCAGAGATGAAATAATAAGCTCTCACACTGTCATAGAAAAACCCATCCTTTGTAATCTGCAGCATGCATTTCCTGGGAAAAAATACACACACAAACACAAAAAGAAGGAAAAAACCCAACACAACAAGGCAAAATGGAAAAAAAAGTTAAATATTTCTCAGTGTTTGTAGGCACACCCTCCCCCTGCTCTTAGGTTTTGAAGGTCTGTGTGCCAGCTCTTTTTCTTCAGTTTTCTTCTCAGTTTTCCCTTGGACACTCTGCATGACAGAGGGCTGCTGTGCTGCTTTGAAGAATAGATGAACCAAGGTGTTTTAAAACACTTCATGCCGCGGAGATCTCCTGTCTGGGCTGGCTTTTACTCCCAGCACCTGAACTGCTTCTCCTTTCTTCACTGCTCTTTTGTTTCCAGGGGTTTCGGGACTGTTTACAAAGCCGCAGACCCAGCCACAGGAGATGTGGTGAGTGCCAGCACCCCCAGCACACTGTGCAGCTCTTCAGGGCCTTCCCCTCTGCTGGCAGCTCTGCTGGAGCTTTGGGTGCCCAGTGGAGCTTCCCTGCACAGCCTGTTCCTCGAGCACAGAGCAGTGACAGCCTGCAAAACTCATTCTGGACAGGCTTTGTTCCTGCTCAGTTCCAGAAAGCATGCAGGAGGGGCAGTGGTGTCTTTCAGAGAGGAACATAATTAAGGCTTAAAATACCAGAAAGTTATTTCTCTAGAAACCCAGAAAACAATTGCAAATCTGAACTATGGGGTTCAGATTGCTCATAGAGTAGCAAAATCAAAGTTCAAGAACTGAGAAATATGGGATTGCATTATTTTCGTGTGTGTAACTGCTATGATCTTTTAGGGTGGGATTTTATCCATCATGTATGCATGTGTTTGCTTTGTTGTTCAACCAAGACCAGCAGCAATGGCTGAAATAATGGCCAAACCCCATAGAATTGCTGAAGGATTCCCAGCTGTTTTGATATATTTTCACAGTCACAAAATCCTGCTTGCAAAACCTGTGTGAATAATAACAGAAGTGATAAACTGAGGCCATCAGGGAAGAATGTGGGTGCAGGGTGATGTCAGAGATCTGTGGATGTTAGTTTAGGGAAATTTTTGCAGAGTTTAGAAGGCAAAATGTCTCTGGCAAGTGTCCTGTAAGTGGCACCCAAGCAAGTGGAGAAATCATCTGTTGTCCTGTCACTTCCTGAGCCCTGGTGTCTGATCACATCAGGCACAGGGCAGCTGGCACAGCCCAGCCCCATCACTCCAAAAAGATTCTCTCCATGGTCATTGTGCTCTGTCGAAGCCAGGTGCCCCCAATGCAGCAAATATGTGCTCTGACTCCATGGTTCAGAAGGCTGAACAATTGTTGTATTAAAACTATACTAAAAAGATACTGTACTATACTAAAGAAAACCCATGACTGTCTCCAGACAGTCAGACACAGCTTTGAGTGACTGGCTAATCACTCAAAACAACTTTCTCCTGTGTCCAATTAACAAATCACTTCAGGTAAACAATCTCCATAACACATTCCACATGTGCAAAAACAGGAGCAGTGAATGGAGATCAGAATTGTTTTCTCTTCTTCTCTCTGTGCTTCTCCCTGCTTTCCCAGGTAAAATCCTTGGGAAGTTGTGCCTGCTGCTCTCTGTGAAGAGAGCTGTGGCCATAGTGCTCTCCTGTCGCAGAGCTCTGGGCTCCATGGGCTCCACTTTCATTCCAGGTGGCCCTCAAGAAGATGCCTCTCCGCAAACGGAGCAGGAAGGAACTCATCGTCAACGAGATTCAGGTCATGAAGGAAAACAGGCATCCCAATATTGTCAATTATATAGACAGGTGAGTGGTTCACACACAGTGAGTCTGTTCACACACAGCAAGACAAAGGTTTAAAAACCCCTCTGGGCAATGTCAGAACATGGAGCTCTTTCTTATTTCTCTGTTCATCTCCAATTGATGGAAGGAGATGGCCTTGGGTCTCCATTAATCTTTTCTGGTCCATGTAGTTGGAAACCTCTTTTCAAAACCTGAATGTGCCATGTCTTACTGAAACAACAGCCTGTCAGTTCATTACCTCTGTGTTGTTTTGGGGTTTGAGTTTTTAGGTTGATCATATTTTCTATGCCTTAACAATAAGTGCTGATAAACCATCATAGAAATTATCTCCCTTGGGCTGTTCCCACCATTTTCCATTGCTGTGGAATCCAGGAAGACTAAATTCTCATTTGTAGAACCACATAATTTGCCAGTTTAACATAGTTTTCCTTGTTTCTGACTGTATTTTATGCAGTGTTTTCCAAATGGTTGGCCAACATCTGTTCTCAGTGGTGCAGAGCCTCCTCCCATAGGTAACTCTGGATTGTGTTGCCTTGTTCCTGCAGTGAATGGTGGAACTGATAAATTAAGATAATGACTCAGTTGATGGCAAGTGTCCTGGTTCCAGACTGATCTCTGCTATTACTAAACTGCATTTTTAATTTAATTTCTCATGAGCCTTTCTCATTTAGACTGCACAGGTTCCAAATAATCTGTCACCTACAAAGAATGTCTCTCCATTTCATTCTGCCTCCATTTACAAGTGACCTGGAAACAAAACTCCCCTGCAGTCTTTCCACAAGGTAATTTAGCTGTGTACATTCATACATTCATCTCCATGCCTTGGTTTTCTTCTCTCAGCTACCTGGTGAACGAAGATCTGTGGCTCGTGATGGAATATGTGGATGGAGGCACTTTAACCAGCGTTCTTGTCCAAGTCTTAATGGAAGAAAGAATTATAGCTGCTATCAGCAGGGAGGTGAGGGACCCTGTTTGTGCTTCCAATGGCTTGGACAGGTTGGGACAGGAGTGGCTTCGTGTTCAGAGCTTTGTTTCAGATCTGAAATGTGAAATAAAAGAGTGTCTTGGTTTGAAAAGACAGGTGTCTATTAAGGAAGGCAGGAGCAGCTTTGTTTCAGATATGAAATGTAAAATAAAAGGGTGTATTTAGTTTGAATAGACAGGTGTCTATTAAGGAAGGCAGGATCTCTCTTGAAATGGAAAATGTAAATCCCCTCTCTCTGAATTATTATGATTTTGAAATTAAGAGGCTCTCAGGTAAAGATATGGGAAAGGGAATAACAGTTATTTATTAGGAAAGTTAAAAATACAGATGCAATAGTACACTGCCAATAGAACCACAGGTAGTGGAGGACAGAAAACAGGCAAAGTCTTGGAAAAGATGGGGTCACTCACAAAGACACATTTTTTGTAAGAAATGGACTTTAAGAAGCCTCAAAAAGCCCTGCCACAAAATCACAAAATGTGCCTAGATCCACACCTCTATTCCCTATGGCTCTTCTCCCTTAACAGGATTTCCTTTTGTCAGAAGATTTGACTAGGAAAAAATCCCATTTTTGTGAGGTGCTGTGAACTGTTTTTATTACTTGTAATAACCATCCCAGATCTGAGTATTCTTATAATGCAATGCCATGCAGCAGAGAACCTGTCCACTTTATAGCTTTGCTCTCAATATTTGTTACTCATTGTTTTCTCATCTAAATGTACATTTGCAAGATGTGTGTCCACCTAAGACAAAGGGCATCTAAGTGAGCCTCCTGCCAACACAACTGCATTTCCTATACCCTGTTATTATACACTTTTGTCATAGTCTCTTTTAAAATTTATTTAACATTCTAAACTTTGCCTCATTAAACTGGAGCATGTCTGCACTGCATTCTTGGCCTGTAAAAGCAAACATGCTGGTGGCGGAATTTTAAACTAACAACAAATTAAAACAGAGCCTCATTTCTCACAGCCCTCAGCTTAAAAGGAGAGCATTGCACCCCAAGTGGTGTTTGCTTCTGAAAAGCGACTAATGTGCTGCTTAATGTGCTGTTGAGGCCAAAATAAAACCTCTGTCATGCAGCCTCCCACAAAAATGATACACTTCATAATGGAGGGAGAGATGTTTTCATTTTTGACAAACCCTCCTTTATCACCTGGATGGAGAGAGCAGAACCACTGCAGCCATTCTGGCTGGGTTAGCAATGGACAGTCTAGATCAACAACTGGTGTTTCACCTAGAAATTCCATCTTTTAGACCCATTTCCTTTTCTTGTGTGATGAAATGAGATTAACTTCTACCGTCATGGGTTTTGTCTCAGTGCCTCAAAGCCCTGGATTTCCTTCATTCAAAGAATGTGATTCACAGAGATGTCAAAAGTGACAATATTCTTCTCGGGATGGACGGATCTGTGAAACTGAGTAGGTATTCTTGGTCAGACACAGCATCCCCATGTTCTCAGACACAGAGTGAGGAATTCTTGTGCTTGGTTTCACGGTTCAAGCTGGTTTGACAGTACTTTTGTTTTCCTCCTCAGCTGATTTTGGCCTGTGTGCTCAGCTGACCCCGGAGCGGAGCACACGGTGCACAGTGCTTGGCTCTCCTTACTGGATAGCACCAGAAATCCTGAAAAAAAAGGGATACGACACCCAAGTGGACATCTGGGCCCTTGGGATTGTGGCCATTGAAATGCTGGAGGGAGAACCTCCATACTTTAAAGAAAGCCCTATCCAGGTAAGGTGCAAACACTGTCAGATACCACTGTCTTGCCAATCTGTGCCATGTTTTGTCTCCCGTGAACCAAAATCCCACTCAAATCAGCCTGAAATGGTTCCACCAAGGCCCACTTCTAGAAATGTCCCTGCAGAACATCTCATCAGAGGAGAAGTGACCCGTGCCAGTGCAAAAATATGCCTTTTTGGCTTCCAGCACTGCTTGAGTTCCTCCTGGTGTGTTTGATCTCCCTCTGAGCTGGATCTGAGCTGGGAATGACAGCAGCAAGTTTCTCCAATTGGGAAATTATTATGAAAAGCATTACAAGTGTATCTGCAGGCCCAGAAGTCTTTTCAAATTTTGACAGTGCTTTTCAGGGAGGGTCACTGGTTCTAGTGATGCCATAATTATGTATTACCCAAAAAAATTCTAAAAGTATATTTTAGCAAAGCTATTTGCAGTAAACATATTTTGAAGTTTTCGGTTTTAGATTCTAATTCCTTAAAATGAAATTATGAGTTCTTATATCAAACAAGTGAGGAATAGTGGAGGAATGTATACCAGGATAAAATCTCATGCCTATTAGCTGATACCAGGTTAAATGCTGCACAGTTAATTCCTGAGGAAGACAACTGTTCTGAATATTTCAGTCTTCCACTCTTCTTGAAAAATTTCCCTGACTTACCTTGGAAGATCACTTTTGGATTGCTTTTGCCTTGAATAAGGCAGCAAACCCAGATGAAGAGAATGATTTCCAGATCCCAGAATATTCTGAGCTGGGAGGAACCACCAAGTCCAGCTCCTGAGTGAATGGCCCATCTGGGAATTGCTGTCACCAGCACTGTGCTCTGACCAGCTGAGCTCCACTCAGGCTCATGATCCTCCCTGCTCTGAGGCTGACAGTCCTGCTGCCTTGCCCTCAAATGCTGACCACAGCCCCTGCGAGGCACCGGGAGCTCTCAGAGAGCCAGCAGGGCCTGCAGTGGAGCTGTGACCCCAGGGATGGTCAGTGGCTGTCCCGTGCTTCCTCTGTCCCCAGGCTCAGCGCCTGATCGCCCGGAACAGGTACCCCCCTCTGAAGATGCCCAGCAAGATGTCAGTTCTGTTCCACGCCTTCCTGCACTCCTGCCTGGACACCGACCCCGGCATCCGCTGGACAGCCAGGGAGCTCCTGCAGGTACAGGCCCAGTGGCTGCAGGGGAAGGTCTCCTCTCCTGTTAATCCCCAGTCTGGGTGCTTTGCAAAGTGGAATCATAGAATAGTTTGGCTTGGAAGGGGCCTTTAAAGTCCATCTGGTCCAACCTCCCTGCCAGGAATGGAGACATCTTCAACTTGATCAGGTTGCTCAGGGCTCCGTCCAACCTGACTTTGGATGTTTTCAGGGATGGGGCATCCAACAGCTCTCTGGGCAATCTGTGCCAGTGTTTTACCACCCCCAGCATAAACAGTTTCTTCCTTAGACCTAACCTGAATCTCTCCTCTTTTCATTTAAAACCATTATCCTTTGCCCTTTTGCAACAGGCCCTACTAAAAACGGGTCTCCTTGAAGTTTTGAATGGCTGCAACAAGGTCTCCCTGGGGCTTTCTCTCCTCCAGGCTGAGCAATCCCAGTTCTCTTGGCCCTTTCTCAGAAGAAAGGTGTTCCATCCACCCTCTGACCATTTCTGTGTTGTATTTTGGGAGTGCATTCAGTTTTGGCTGGTGGCAAGAGAGCTGCAGTAGAATGGTGCCAGGTACAGAGGCCCAAAATGGTGTTGGTGGAAGAGGAACCCAGTCCTAGCCCAGCAGGCAGAGATTTGGCTGTTGTTGTCTTGGTGCTGAAATCCTGCACCTCAGTGTCCTTCAGAACAGCACAGCCCTAAATCCTAATGGGATCAACATTCCTTGGAGGTGCTGGAGTTCCCTGTGGAACAGCTTGCACTCATCTTTTCTGACAACTGAAGCAGCCCTACCTTTAGAAAAAAAATAATCTAAGTGAGTCCTTTGAATTTCCTGAAATGAAAAAAGCCCTAAGGCAGCAAGTGCCATTCCCAGAGTGCTGGCAGGGTCAAAATCCAGCAAGCTGAAGACCCCTTGATAAATTGATTAATGGGATTACTGGGTCATGTTTGCCTCTGACAGCAAGGTCCTGAATATTAAGACTGAAGTGGAGATGGTCCCCTCAGTCCTATTTATGGGTATTTCTGGTAAGCAGAGGAGTCATGCTTCCTCTTGTGAGAAACTGGCTCTGGAAAGTAACAGTTCCTTTGTTTCTTTTTTCCCCTTTGGGCAGCATCCATTTTTACGAACAGCCATGAGCCTCTCTGTCCTGCCTGACATGATCCGTATAGCCAGGAAACTCTGTAAGGCCATGGAAGCACTCCAGGCCAGCAGTGCCAGCCCAGAGGAAAAGAAGGAATAAAATTTTCACTCCTTTGGGAGATGTGCTCCCTTCTCACACTGGTTCCACAACGACTTCTGAGTTATTGGTTGCTTCTTAAAGATGGAAAGTCCCAATAATGGGGGTTTTGGTATGGTTTGGAAATGGGGAAGGGTCTCCTTCCTCCATCAGCTCCAGACCACGCTGCCTCTGGAATGCCCATGAGCTGGGTTTTGCCCACTTGTGGCACTTCTGGGTGAGGAAGAAAGTGCAACTGCATTTCCAGCCAAACGGGGAAGCCAGAACATCCTGTTGGATGCACACAGTCAGCTGGGACTGCGGAGTGTTTGGAGAATTCCCTGTCCTCCCTCCACCTGGCAGAACATGTGGACACAAAAAATATCTAGAGATTATAGAGAAAGACATGTATATAACATAGATTGCTAAATGGGGGGTGTGCAAATGTACACAGACACATAATATACTGCATAATTATATGTATAAATATTTATAGAATATATATTATTATTATAGTCCTATATATATAATGTTTTTATATAATTATATGTATAGATAGCATGTTACAGAGCTATGGCCATACATTTACCTTGTAACTTATATTGTCCCCTATTCACAACCCCCCCCATAACTCTCCTGAACTTATATAATACTCCTTTTATATATATATATATGTATGTATATACATATATATGTTGTGTATATACATGTATATATGTGTATATGTTGTGTGTGTATATATATTGTGTGTATACATAGTGTGCATATATATTATATATCTGTATATACCTATATAGGGTGTGTGTATATGCAGTGTGCATATATATATATATATATAAAATATTTTTATATACACTCAGGGCTTCCATAACAGTTACACAGTGCGTAGAGTGCTATAATAGCGTGTATAGGTTAACGTCTGGCCCCTTCTATAAACTAAAGGCCGTTTTCACCCGGGTGTGTCGCACCCCGCGCTCAGGTGTCCGTACCTGGCCGTGGTCACACCTGTGTGATGGACACCGAGCGCCCCCTCGCGGCCGCCGCCGGCGCAGAAATCGCTAAAATTGATTTTTTTGGTAAAATTTTATTTAGGTCACTTCGTATTGAAAAGTTACAAAATGTAATATTTTGTATACAATGAAATATTTTGTATGCAATGAAGTATTTTACACCCATTTCCACCTGTTTTCATTTTTGAGATGGCTCGAGTATGTACACAAATGCAGCCCTTCTCCCCTCTCAAAAAAACAACCCAAGATGTTTTCCCACATGTTGATATTGTTAAAAAAATGAACAATTTTAAGTACCAAAGTTAGAAGCAGGCAGCAGCACAAGCCCCTCTCAGCCTGCCCTTGCCTGGCTTCACCTGGGAAGGCAGAAGCATCTGTAAACCAGCAGAGCCAGCTGAATTCCCAGGCTGGGTAAACCTCATGGGTAAACCAAACAGTTCCCAAAAACAATCACTGCAGAGGTGGAGGCAATCCTGCTGAGCCTCCTGCAGCTCCAGCACTGCCAGTCCCTCAGAGCAGCACTGGCCAGCAGTGCCTGGCCCCGTGCCACGGGGACAAACTGGGGCAATGTCTGGGGCTGGCACAATGATCAAGGCCTCAGGGTCACCGTGTCTGTCCTCCACCCTGAGCTCCCACTTTGCCAGGCTGTGCATGCCCAGGAACTGCTGGTCACACTCCCTGTGTCCCACTGATGCTGGGGACAGCCCTGAGGGACAGAGGCTGGGACAGGGTGGTGGTGCTGGGATTGGGGCCAGGGCTGTGGGGCTGCAAGGAAAGAGCCAAGGAACTCCCCTCCAGCTTGGGGCTGAGCTGGCTTTGTGCCCTCGGTGGGCTCAGGAGCTCCCTCAGCCAAATCGTGGGGCAGGGAGGCACAAACCTCTGGTGCCATCTCAGAGTGGAATGTTTTTCAGGCTGAACACTGATCCTTGGCCAAGCCAAGCCCCAGGAATGGCCCTCATCCCATGGAGAATGAGCCCCAGAGGGAACAGCCCCCATCCCACAGGGAATGGCTCCCATCCCATATGGAACAGACTCTAAACGGGCCCTGATCCCATAGGGAATGGCCCCATTCCACAGGGAATGGCTCCCATCCCATAGGGGAAAGCTCCCATTCCATAGGGAATGCCCCCATCCCACAGGGAACACTGCAGGAAGCAGCTCCCACAGCCTGGACAGAGTGTGAGGAAAAGCAAAGCAAACAGCTCTCAGTGCAGCACTAGGGCAGCCCCGATCTTCGCAGTTCCCCTGTCCAAGCTCTGGTCTGTGTGAGACAGTTTATGCTTTCCAAGAGAGAAATCTCAGTTTAAAAACATTTCCCGAGTAAGCAGCCCTGAAGCCATGAGCTTTCAGAGAATGTCACTTGCCTGTGGGGCTTGTAGTTCACACCTCTGACAAGATCTCTGCTGTGCCAAACGGCCTGAGCCCGAACTGTCTGAAAAGAGCTGGATTTTGGTCCTTGGTACATGCGAGCTGATGGCTCTGCAGCATCATTCACAGCCCCACAGACCATCTCTGCCATGTCAGAGAAAGCATTTTCCTACCACAGCAATGATCTTTTTGGAGCCCTGAGGAGACCTTTTGTGAAAACATTAGCTCTGTCAAGGACCATTTCATAAATTGTAAAAATTGCCCAGTGTGGCTGAAGGGGCTACAAGGCACACAGAAATCCGTATTTCCTGGCTGTAAAAAGGAATAATAGTCCTTCAGCTTCACTTTCCCACCCGGAATCTGCAGCTGTGTAAAATCCATTTCTGAGTGTCTGGCACAGAGCCCTGTGCACTGCCAGGGTCAGTGCCCAGCGTGCCCACCCCAGACAGCTGCTGAGGGAACCCTGCCAGGGCTGCAGGGGGAGGGAAGAGCTGGCACCAGACTCCTGCTGGGAGGGAAATGTGAAATAACACCCATCCTCCATGGTACCCGAGTGAAACTCCATCAAACATCAGCCGTGACAGCAATAAGTGACTGCAAAATTTTGAGGGTGAGACCTGACAACTGCCAGGGAACAGCACCCTGCTTTTACAACCCCACCCTTCTCATGAGCTCATTTTCTCCTTTCGGGCTGGTGCTACATCTACCAAAACAAGAGGGCTGTTATCCCATTTTTAGTATAATGTGGCTTAAACAAAGCAAGGAGGCTCCCATTACTGAATCTGTGCTCTGAGCAAAGCCCCAGCTGAACTGTGAGGTGCCCTTGGACAGAGATACCAAACTGTGAGTGACCAGCTCCAGGCGGAGAAGAGAACAATCAGAAAGTCAGTCTGAGAGCCTTTGGGTGGACAAAGCTCTTACTTGCTGTGTGTTCAAACAGGCACTGCAAGATCTGCCCCTCTGTTTTAATGTTGTCCTGGCAAGACTGGTCTTAAGGCCATGAGCTACGGCTGAGCTCCTTGACACTTTCACCAAGGAACAGAAACACCTAATCTATAGTGAAATTCATCAAGAAATTTATATCCTTCTATGGGAAGGATATGGAAAAAAATCCCCATGAAGCCCCCTTGTACTTGCCAGTTCCCAAGCTGCTGGTGGGTGCCCGATGGAGCTGCAGCCATTCCTGCCTGCATCCTCAACCATGCTCCCATCCCCACGAGCTTCCCTGCCAGCATTCCATTTGGTCCCTCTCCTGTCAGCCTGTTCTTCTAAGTTTTTCTAAGGCTTCTGATATTTATATTGTTGTAACGGAGTTTCTCATGCACTTTTATGTAAATAATTATTGTTTTTACATTCCTCTCTGGAGGAGGAGAAATTTGAGAGAAATTTGGTTTGTCCAGTGTCATTGGAGAAGTGGCACTTTCATCCTCCAATCCACTGTCACTTTTGAAAGTCTATAAATGTTCGAGTCAAGAAATAAACCACCCTTCTTCTTCTTCTTCTTCTTACCTTGCCGTTCCAGTGTCTGTGTGGTTTAATTTCGTGTCCTATTGCGACACTCTCCTACTGCATGAGCTGTATCACGAGCATAGCTATGGATAAATATGCATTTCCCCCTTTCCCAACAGAGGGCTTTCCCCCCCCTTTTAAAGCGATTATGCTGATGTGCTCCCTGCGCTGCCGAGAGGCGACAGCTCCGTGTGGCTGCGCGGAGCTCAGAGCCCGGCCAGGTCCTCGCTGCACAGCACCGTGACGCTGATGTGACCCGGCACCTCGGCCGCTTCCCCGCCGCCTCTGCCCCGCAGCTGCAGCCTCTGCTGCTGGGGGGGCTCACCCGGGGGGGCTGCCAGCACCGCCTGCCCCAGGAACCGGTCGCTCAGGAGGTTGCTGTTCCACACCTGCAGAGAGCACACGGAACCCGGCTGGGCAGCGCTGCTGTCACACTCCGCCAGGAAGGGTCACCCCCGATAACCCCTTGGAACATTGCGTATCTCAGTTTAGCTAATTGTCTAGAGAGCGTGAGGGAGAGTCTGGATTTGCATGCTCATTTACACAGACTATGCAAAGAAGGAGAGAAATGCAGCTTTTTGCTTTCTAGGTCACAGCGTGCCTAGGAGAGGAATAAAAATGACCTTTTTTAGCACATCAGCAGTAGAATCTATCTACAATAGCCTGTCTGTGCTGCTGTGCCTGCCTGTGCCCACCTCTGCACCTCCTCAGTGCTAGAGTTTTAGAGCCTGGCCCAGAGTCCAGGCTGAAGACTAAGTTTTCCTGGACTGCATCATCTCAATGCCAAGCTCTTATTTCTCCAGCTAGTGCTGAGGTAAACAGTGAGGTCTAGTTCTCACAGGACTAGGATTCAGGGTAGAAAACTTCCTTTCAAACACTGACTCTGGACAGCACTTGGCTTTTCCTTGTCTCTGTTTCATCAGATACCACATGGGGCAAAAGGAATTCTGTAAATTCCTTCAAAGCCTTGGAATGAAATATTCCTTGGAATGAACTATGCCTTGTGATCCCCAAGTGCCATCAGCTGGTGTTTGTGGAGCAGAAGCAGCAGCAGCCCTGAGTGGCCAGCTGCCTGCTGAGGTTCTGCATGGCGCAGGATTCCTCCAGACCCAAGCTGCCACCACCTGCAACTGTGGCTGCTTTGACAGTGCCAAGTGCCTCCTGCAAACTGACATCAGCAACCTGGGCTGGTGAGTTTTGTTTCCCAGGGAAAAGGCTGGCGTTGGTGTTCAGGGGCAGAGACCAGCAAGGGGAGCAGAGGTTCTCACTCTTCTCTCCTGGGTCACACGAAGGAACAGTTGGCCCAGTGAAGCCCAGGGCTGCTGCTGTGCTGCCCTCCCTGCCCTGAGCAGCTGCCCTGGGGCTGTCTCACCTGGATGGTGACAGGACTGTCGATGCCCTTCCTGTAGAAGATCACCTGGGTGTTGAAGACGGGGCTGGTGGTGTCGTGCTGCACCGGGGAGCGCCGGCTTTGGTTCTCACACTTGATGAGCACGTAGGGATCTGCTCCTGGAACACAGTCAGCAGCACAGCTCTGGGCACACAGAATGGCAGCTGAGAGCTGCCCAAAAACCCAGCAGAGACAATCCCCTCCTGTCCCTGGCAGCACCACAGGACAGGGCACCAGAGCACATCACAGCCACTGCTCCCCATCCAGGTGAAAACACAGAATCCTGGAATGGTTTGGGTTGGGAGGGACCTTAAAGGTCATCCAGTTCCACCCCCTGCCATGGGCAGGGACACCTTCCACTGTCCCAGGCTGCTCCAAGCCCTGTCCAACCTGACCTTGGACACTTCCAGGGATGCAGGGGCAGCCCCAGCTTCTTGGGCACCCTGTGACAAGGCCTGCCCACCCTCACAGGGAACAATTTCTACCAAACATCCAATTGAACCCTCATACGTGACCCCCTGCCATTGTTCAACATTCTATAAATGCCTTGAGCATTTTTATTTCTTATTAAAGTTGATATTCTCTTTCCTTTACAATAAGGAGTGAGATCCATTTTGAAAACATCAAACACATTCAAATAGAATGGGCCATTCCATCTTCTAATTAACCTTTAATTAAAGGCAATACCACGTTTTGTATTTCAACACAACTCTGTCCATTTCTGTTGTGACATTTCTGATTCTGTTAATGACAGAATTTTTTCCCCACACCTCGCAACTTCTTAGATATAAATTTCAAATAAACCCAGGGTATCTGTAAGCAGGCTTGTGAGAGTTTCTAACACACTTCTTTTCACCATCTACTTGAAAATACCACTACAGCCAGAAGGCCAAAGGCAATACCATGTTTTCATTTCAACACAACTCTATCTATTTCTATGTTAATGACAGAATACCTTTTTTCCCCCCACACCTTGCAACTTCTTAGATAAAGATGTTAAATAAACCCAGAGTATGTGTAATAACTCATGAGAGTTTCTACCACACTTCTTTTCACCATCTACTTGAAAATACCACTACAGCCAGAAGGCAGCGCAATTCTAGGCAACTTTAGCTTAACAAACCATGCCCAGATGATTTCCCTCAAACTCATCACTCATTTACCAGACCAGGTACCAACACCTCGCATGAACAAAGCACATAACAGCTGCATCCAAGGCAGACACAGCCATTTCCATGTACAAAGCAGACAGATTTTTCCATATGTTGCTCCGTGGTTACACCTGGCCAGAGCTGTTTCCCTGTTTCCCTGACAATCCCCAGTTCCATGGCAGGTAGCAGGATATTGGCTTTTCTGATGGGCAATTGCCTTCCCTGTCACTGAACTGTGAATTCAGCTCTGGGGCACGGGGTGGCACCAGGCTGTGTCACCAGGGGTGGAAAAGCTGCCCTCTTTGCACAGCAGTTTGGAAAATGGATATGGATAAAACGGGGTCTGTCACCCCAATGGTGTTAACAGCTTTGTCGAGGGCAAAGGGCAGAGCAACACCTGATCATTAACAGTAATTAAGAGATAAAGAGCATAAGGAGGGGTGGGGAAAGGGCACAGAGCTAAAGAGGTGACAGGCACATCTGCTGGATGGATGAGGGAGAGTTAATGAGGGAACTGTCTAAGTGAAGGGAAAAGGAAAGAAAATATTTGAAGGAAACTTTCAAATTCTCAGCAAGACCTCTCAGAGGGAGGTAGAAGGAGGACATGTCACCACGATATTTTCTGAAAAATCCCTTTGCCAGGATTTCTTCTCCTGGGAAGTTGAGAAGCCTCAGAGAAAAAAGTAAATAATAATTATATGATTCTCTTCTCCTGTGTTTGCTGCTTTGGAATGTGGCAGGGGCACGTTTCATTGGTTCCATGTGAATTGTTTTTACTTAATGACCAATCAAAACCAGCTGTGTCAGACTCTGAGAAGTCACAAGTTTTTATTATTCATTCTTTTCTAGCCTTCTGATGTATCCTTTTCTCTATAGTTTAGTATAGTTTTAGTAAATAATTTTTTAATATAATATAATAAAATAATAAATCAACATTCTGAAACATGGAGTCAGATTCATCTCTTCCCTCGTCCTGGGACCCTCACAACCACAACAGGGACACAAAATGTTCCTGTAGCCGTGATGCTCCAGAATGTTCTGACCCCGTGATGGCAGTGCTGGATGGGTCAGTTGTTTTAGGAAAACTGGCTCCAATTCCACAACAAAAGCAAGCAGTGGGAGAGCACATGGGGGATCAGATGTTCTCAGCTGTGGATGGCCCAGTTCTGTGCCTGGTTTATTTACAGGACAAAGAAAAAACACCAAGGTCTGCTAGAGTGGAAAAGCAGTGTCCTGGAATTGGCCATGAGAAGGGAATGAAACCAGAGCTGCTGCTCAGGAAGCAGCTCTGGCAGTGGAAGGAGGGCTGGGTTCAGCTCTGGGGCACTCAAATGGCTCCAGCTCTGCCCTGAACCCCACAACAGCTCTCTCACCTCAGTCCTGGCCATGCTGCTGCTTTGGGAAGTTGTACAAAAGAACAGTGCAAAGGAAAAAGTTGGAATCTGTAAAAGCCAGAAACACCTGAACAGTGCTGGCATTTCTGAGGGTTAAAGAAATCTGTGCTCGGTAGTCTAAGGGTGAATTTTTGGGTTTTTGAGAACTGCACCTAGGATCTAACACCCACACCCTGCAGCACTGCACCAAAGCAAAAGGCTTTCTGGAAAACATTCCTGAGGGAATGCCAGCTGCAGTCCACTCCTCTACTGCTCTTCCCAGAACCTGGAGAGCTCTGACAGCCTCAGCCACTGGAAAAGGGCATGGCACAAACACCAGGTACAGCGCTGGGACACAAGCATTGCCCTGGCAACCACAGGTTGCCTCTGGCAGCTGAATTTCTGCTCTCAGGCTGCTCCCAAGGCACTTCCACTAAGGTTTCTCTGCTTCCAGGGCTGTCACACACCATGGATTTCAACACTCAGTTTATATTCTAAGTGATGAAAAACAATTCAATGTGCAAATCCAACATGGAATGTCAGCAGGAACAATTAAAGGTGCAAAAGGTGATTTTTTCCACAAAGAGAAACTCAGAGAAAAGGCCTGACAGACAGTAGTGAGAACCATTTTTAAAACAGGCTTGGGAATGAGTGACAGAAAATCCTCTAGCACAGAGTTTCCTCATCATCCTGCAGACCTGGCACTGTGCTTGGCTCACAGACAGCTGGATCCACTTCAGAACACACTGACTTGGAGAGAGGTGCTTCCACAAGGAGCAGCCAGGACTGAGTCTGGATTCATCCACTATTCCTGACAACAGCAAACCATCCGTTATTTTGTCCAGACAGAGCAATGGATCAAAGATAGCACCAAGGAGGAGCTTTCCAATAAACATTTAAAATAAAAATTAAATAATTTTCCTCTGGCCAGGAACAAAGCTCTGATAACAACCAGCATTGAGCTGTGAAAAATGAAGACCATCAGAGAGCAGGAGTAGAAAATGAAAAAGCATATGACAACTGGGCAAATTTCCTAATTAACTCAACATCAGGTGCTAAAAAGCCACTTTGGTGTCCTTCAGGACACTTCCTCTGACAGACACACAGTCATGTATAAAGCATTTAACCCCTGTTCTACTTTACCCAGCTGAAAATGATTGATTGAAAACCATGAAGTCCTTCCTGAAGTGCTCTAATGAGGTAAATGTAACACGCTACACGGGTCTGTGCCATTCAGCTGCCCCCTGGATATTTTCCATTTAGAAAATACACAGCCCTGACAAAAAACCTTACTAATCCCCACAATTAGCTCCTTAGGAGGGTCTGGCTACTCCTGCCCATCCTGGCCAGTTATGGACCTGCCCATAATTTGCTGTTGTGCATCCCCATATTCATCTGATCTCTCCATCTCTATTTATAGCAAGATGGAAAAACAAATCCCATAAATCCTGTTTGGATGATTTCTGATTGCTTGCATATCAACCCAAATCATCTTCAGAGGACTGAAAAGCCAATTCCACTCCTCCAGACTCCCTTTCCACTTACCTCCTGATCTGTCTTGTTTTTGCAAACCCTCTGCAGAGTGCACTTTGATTTGGGTGACGCTGCGTGGGTAGCCACAAAGGAGACTCCAACACGTCATTTTAGGCCTATCTGCCTTCAGCTCTCTGAAAAATCATGGAAAAGGCAACCTAAGCAAAGAATGCCAAGCAAACAATCAATGGTTGTGGAAATCTGGCATTTTTAGAACATGAGATTCATAGTTTTTCATCATCTGCTGTTTTTGAATTATGTGGTGCAGAAATGACAGATGTAAGAGATAAAAATAGAACAAAACAAAGTAAACAAATTTGTGTTATCTTTTGTGTGAAAGCAAAAGTGGTGGAAAAAACCCCAATTTTAAATAGTGGAAAATACTATCAAATCAAGAAATAAATGCAGTGGGCCTGATTCACGAAGCACTGGTTCTCCTCTTGCAGCAGCCACTGCTTTCAGAGGAGATGGCCACAGGAACAACAAATATCAGCTGTGGCCACAAGCACCAGTGCTCCGTGTCCTGACCTGGGACTGGGAGCCACTACAAGAACTGCACTAAAAAAGCCAAAAGACTCAAAATGAATCATCCAAGATGTCCCCAAGTAAACATTTCCTGACCGTGCACAAACCTGGATATTCTCAGAGGTGCTCCTGACCAAGATGTCCCCAAGTAAACATTTCCTGACCGTGCACAAACCTGGATATTCTCAGAGATGCTCCTGATGTCTCCAGGGCCCAGTTCTGGAGCCACATGAGCCAGGGAGCTGGAGGACAACCTGCCAAGCCCTTCCACGGAGCTGCAGCCTGTGGGCTAAGGAGGATCTCCTGCAGCTGTGAGTGGCACCCACCTGAGTTTTGAGGGCACATCTGTGTAGAGCCTGAGGATGAATTTTGTGGGGACCCCTGGCATGTAGGTGGTTGGGACCAGGACGTAGCGGCCCTGCTGCAGGGTCCTCCTCAGGAACACGCTGCGGGTGTTGGAGTAGGGAGACGTGGCCACTCTCTCCTGCACCGTGAGCTTGTGCAGCCTGTACCTCCTGTTGTCCTCCACCTGCAGCACGAGAGGGGTCAGGGACAGCAGGGCTAAGGGCAGGGCTCTCCCTGGGCACCACGCAGCTTCTCACCCAACAAGGCAAATAGTTTGGCAAGTGTTTTCTCATCCAGTTCAGCTGTGGCAGGTGAAAGTTTGGGGCTGGCAAAGACAGGAGCCCACCGACAGAGATGATGTGATGCCACTGCAGAGCTTGGAACACTTCCAGAGATGGACACACAGCCCAAGGACTGCACCTGCTCAGACAAGGCTGAGATCCCGTGGAAGAGGTTTTACAGTGAGTTCAGTGAGCCAGAGGGAAGTTTGAGAAGAGGATCCATGTTCACTCCTGAAAGAATTTTCTACCAAGGTTGTTGACATAGAAACCAGGAAAGAAGGATAAGAAGAGAAACCTGCAACTGCCTGTTCCAATGAGCACTTTGTCTTTCCTGACCAATGACTAAAGTGTAAACGAATGAGTTTTGTAAGAATGTACAAAAAGCATGCAAGCTATAAAAAAAACAACAGTTTGAAGCCTTCTGAAAATGGAGTGTTGCTTTGTATTGTGACCATCTCAACTAGAACAAGATCCCTCTGCCTCCCTTCTGTAGCCTTTCACAGCAGGCTCCCAATCCAGATGCACACAGCTGGATTTTCCTTGCCCTTTCCCGAATACAAAAGCCACAGAATAACCAAGCATGTTTTGTTCTAAGCCTTGAAGTCATGCTTAACTCTTAACATCCCCTCCAGGGCTCTGGTATTGCCAGAGCACAGTTTAAATCTAAACCTCTCTCTCAAGCAGTTCTTGAGGCAAAGCAGTCCTTCATTCTTTTCTGGCAGCTCTCTTCCCAAGGCCTTTAGTCATGCTAATGAGCCTGGTGTGTTAGAATATATCTAAAATAGGAAAATTATTGATCAGAAATAAAAATAGAGCACTGAAGCTCTTAGGAAGGTTTGGTGTTCTTTTTCAAGCCTTTCCAAATTACAGGCATGAACAAGGGAAATTATTCTGCTTTCTGCAACACTTTTCAATATATGTGGTTAACAGGTGATTGGAAAATGAGTAGGTGTGATGCAGATGTCAGCAGATCTAACCAACTGTTAAAAATTGACCTTTTTTTAAGGGTAGGGCCATAGATTTAATGCAGTCCCAGGAGCTGTAGCAACAGATGACAGGATTATCCCAATCCTCAGTGAAAAAGCAGAAAAAATGCTGTTTCTTTGCTTCCCTCCTCTGAGTTTGAGTGTTTTCATTTTACTCAATTTGCCTTGAGAGTGCAATTAAATTACCTTTTGGGATCCCTGTGGTTCCTTTTCCCATATATTCATTTCCTGCTCACCACTCCAGCTTTAGAAAAGACTTTTTTTCTAAGTGGCAACAGAAAAACTGCAGACTTCTCAACCTCATTCTTCTAGCTGTATTTTCTGGTGAAATGGAGGCAGAAGAAGGAGAAAAACCCCCCATGTTTTAAGTATTAATATAATTTTGCCTTTCTCTAGAAAGTTTTGGGGTAGGAAAAACACTCAAAATTCTTTTGCAAGGAGTGAAAATTATTTATTTCAAATAAATGAAATTTATTCGAATAGAGTTTGAGCTGAGCTAAAATCAGTTGCGTTCCCGTGGCCTGAGTGCAGTGCACACACAAAGTCTGAGCACAGAGCCAGACCCCAGAACAATCCTGGTATATTATCTGAAAGATGAATTTTCAAAGTAGTACCTAAAAGAGTAAGTCCCCAGACTCCACAGACAGTAAGAGAAGTCTATACCTGAATTTGCACATGCTGGGAGAGAGAAGGGCAGGAAGGTGGGAAAGGGAGTAGGAATAGTTGAACAGATAAACTGATTTTTATCTAGATTTATCTAACTAGAGATAGATCTCTATCTGCCAAAGATCTCACTGTCAGGGAGAAGCAGGACTGAGCAAACTGGACAAGCTCTGCACCAGGAGCACAGCTGGCTGCCTACCTTGAGGATTTCAAAGCCAATTGTGATGTTGTCTCCTTTCCCTTCTTTCTTGTACTTGCGGCGATCCTCCTGCTGTAAGGACACCAGCACTTTGTCCTGGGCCTTCTTTACATCAAAGAGGTACTGGGAGGAGAGAGGAGAGGGAAGAGCTGTTGGAATTTTACCCTTGGGAGGCTGAGGGTAAAGCCATCACCAAGGAAATGTGTTGTCTTAGGTTGGAAATGGGGCTGTGTGTTCTATTTCCATCTGTCAGAGCTGGGATGTGCATACAAAGGAGACAAATGGAAAATACCTTTGAGGGAGGAAGGAGAGCTCTCCATGGAGCAGACATTCCCAGCAATTCACAGCTGGAAAATGAATGCTAGTAATAATGAGCTTAAAATCAAAAGTATCACGTAAATAAAAGGTATTGATGAAAATGGTTATCTTAGTGGTAGGACATGGGGAATGACCTTAAGGTGAAGCAAGACAGGTTTAGACTGGATGTTAGGAAAAATTTTTTTCCTAAAGGAGGGTGGGCAGGCCCTGGCACAGGTTTCCCAGAGCAGCTGTGGCTGCCCCTGGATCCTGGCAGTGCCCAAGGCCAGGTTGGACAGGGCTTGGAGCAGCCTGGGACAGTGGGAGCTGTCCCTGTGGCAGGGGATGGATTGAGGATTGAGATGAGCTTTAAGGTCCCTGCCAACCCAAACCATTTCACGACTCTGATTCTGTGAACTCACATAAAAGACAGCCTGGGACAAAGCTACAAAATAACTGGAGTCAGCAGGAGGATGCCTCACTTGAAAGCAAAAGACAAAAGATGAAGTTTTACTTAGCTATAAATCAGGAATGAGATTAAAAAAATAAACCAACAGACTCCACAGGGGGTCTTAGATAATTTTTGATTCTCCTTTTAACTAGACAGTGCCTATAAATTTCAAAAATATTTATATAGGAGCTGCAAATGAAGGAATCTTTCAAATCTTTTTTAAAAGGCACTTTGTTCTGCATCTACCGTTCCTATTTAATGTGAGAATGACAGTAATGCTAATTTTGGACTTCTCAGTTTTCCTGAATACCCAGTTAAAAACAGCTAAGAAAGACTCCTGCACCTCTACCACACAAATATTTTATCCACACTATTTACAGTAAACTTCAGTCAACTTGGGTTTAAGACAAATCAAAGGAATTTATCTCAAGTTTAAGCAGCAGTTCTCATCTTACTAAATCTGACTTGAACAGTTACATTAATAAAAATCACTACCCGACCAGTTCATAAGTATGAACAAAAGAAGGTCAGACAGGTGTTTCTTTATATGACAAGGAATTTAATTTGTTCATTATTAGAGACTCCTTTAAATTTTGCTTTGTGCATGCAAAGGGCAAATCTGAATTGTCAGGACCAGAGGAGGGAAGAGGACATTATTTACCCCAAGTTTGGATAGATACTGCACTCTCCCATCCTCAAAGGCATTTAAACATGAAGAAAATAAATAGAAACGTAAACCTGCAGCAGTGCACAGCTGGGTACCATGTGCACCACATGTTCTGATTTAAGCAGAAATTCCCTGGCAGTGTGGAGAGGAACATCATCATTGGTTCAACTCTATCCTCCCTTTTCCTTTGGCTGCTGCTGCAAAACAAATTACTGAGCTTTGCTCTGAGGTAGATTTTGAGATTGCCTTGGCTACAGAACCATCCACATCCCTCTGCCTTGCAGCTCTGCTGAACAAGGCCCCATCCCAAGCTCTGATTTGTGTTTTTATCACTTACTGCAGCAGAGAAAGCACAGGGCCCTGGGAGAGTCCCAGGGGTTGTAAGAGAACATAAAAAGTGAGATATAAAGATGCAGCAACACCCAGGAAGGCACATTTTAATTCTTGTCCTGTTGAGCCATACACAGGTTACCCCCTCAGGGTGCTCCAAGGCCATGGAGGGGTGGAAGGGCAACAAGTGGAACCAGGAAAGTTCTCCTGGTCTGGTGACAGCTCTGCAGCTGTGACCTTCTCCTGATGGCACCTCAGCTGTCCAATGGGTAATGATCTAGAAGTCAGCAGGTGATTCTAGAATACACAAATACTTGGCTGAAATCGCCTTATCAAGGAACTGGAAGTGTGACAATCCCTCTCTGCACAGATAAACCTCACAGGAGGCCTCAGTGCCAGGAGAACAGAGAGATGATCTCTAGATTATGGTGGGGTGTGCCACAGTAACCTGTAATGGCCCTAAGATAACAAAAATGTGTTCCAGCACTGCTACTAAGAGCCTTTTAATCAGCTGGCCCAGAGATAACACTGGAATGCCACATCAGCATTGCACCCAGCTGGAACTGTGCATTTTGTTCTCTGTGACAGCTAAACACTTACAAATGAGACCAGACAAGGCTTGGAACACATCCAGAATCCCACAGGGCAATACCTGAATTACATCACCTGCTGGAAGTGAGGCTCTGACAGAAGGCAGAGCAGTGAAGAACTGCAGGATGAGCCGGGAACCTGAGATCTGATGTGAGCAGCAGGGCTGCACTGCTGCAGCATCCTGCTCTGAAAACACAGCCTGCAGGCAGAAACCTCCCTTGCAAGTGCAGAGAAGCAGATGCAAAAATATCTTTAATTAATCTGGACAGAAAGATCAATTATCAAAGTAGTAACTACCAGAGTAAGTGCCCAGACCCCACAGACAGTAACAGAAGTTGTATGTCTGAATTTGCATGTGCTGGGAGAGAGAGGGCAGGAAGGTGGGCAAGGGAGTAGGAATGGATGAACAGATAAACTGAACAGCTTGAAATGACCAGGTAGGATGAGAAAAGGAAAATTCTGTAATGCTGATGAGAGGGTGAGCTTGGGGAAGAGATCAGGTACTTCCAGAATCTCACAGTAATGCCAAGGGATACTAACTAAATACAGTGGATCAAATACCTGAGCTGTTTAAGGGGGTTAAGTGAGTTCTGTCATTAGAAAAATCAGAAAATTGCTGCCTTTGTATGACTGGGAAAATGGAAGAAGTCCAGGCAGGACACCAGTAATTCTGTTGTGTGTGTGACTCACCAGCTCCAAGCACGATCAGTCCTAAATAAATATACAAACCATTCTGAGGAATTGCACCGAAATCATCAAACATGCAGTACACAGCACACTCTCAGGACAATGAGATTTTTGTCTAGTAGTCACCATCAACTCCTAAACAGGGGGGACACTTCAGGAGCCCCAGCTAAAGTGGGTACACTTCAATACCTCACAGAACTTCCCACCTGGGGGTTCTGCAGGAAGGTCTCGTTATCAAACACCTCACAAACACACAGGGGTTCCCACCTGGGGGTTCTGCAGGAAGGTCTCTCTGTTATCAAACACCCCACAAACACACAGGGGTTCCTACCTGGGGGTTCTGCAGGAAGGTCTCTCTGTTATCAAAGCAGCCCCCAGCTCGGTTCAGCAGGGGCTCTGGATGCTTTGCCCAAGCCCCATACATCATTTCCTTCTCCCAGGTCTTGTGGAGGCTGAAGCAGGAGGTGTTCACAGTCCTGCAGATGTCCACATCCGTGAAATTCTTACACCAGTCCTCAAACGTCATCCTGTTCCAGGGAACACCAGGAGAATAATGGTTTGTTTAAAAATAAACAGTGATATTCACATAAAGAATCAAAACAAAACACAAAATCTTCCAGTAATTTGAAGAGGAGACATTGCTCAGCTGTCCAGGGGACAAAGTGATTCACTGGAAAGCTTTCCATGTGGAAATACTGGTGAAACCACAATCACAGAGTTTTAATTCAGAGCAGCATCACTCAGTGTGCTTGGTCAGACCAGGATCTGTCCTGTTGCATCTCCTAAGCCTAAAGGACTGCTTGAACCTCCCAGGCTGGATTTGATAACACATTTTACAAAGGCCAAAGAGATCACCTGCAATTAAAGCAGAATCCACTCATTATTACAGTCCTTATTGTCACATCTGTCCCTGAGCAGGACTCCAACCTCTGCACTCTGGACAGAGCTTTTCTTTGACCTCATCTCACCTGTGCCTGCTAAAGGAAGGGGCTGGACTGCAGAGCCACTGAAAACCAGCTTGGCTCTTTGAATTACCACCATGGCCTGGCTTATTCATGGCCCAGAGCCAAACCCTGCAGCTGCCAGTCCTGACAAAGCCAACAGAACTATTTCCACTCTGAGCCCTGCCAGCTCACTTGATGCAATATTGATCATCTCCTGAAGGACCTGCTGGGCTAAGGATCCAAGCTTTAAGCAAGGTCAAAATTAATAGAGCTCTAGACGTTGTATAGAGAATGAACACTTGGAAAGCACCAACAAATACTGGATGCAACTCTATTTTTAGATGCCTCAGCCAGGGCTGAGCTACAGACAGGCACAGTACTCAGTAAACAGGGTGTGAAATGCACATGGTACTTCCTCAGATATTTTTGCCCATTTCAAAATTTAACTGGTCTAAACAGTGTTCAATATTGGGCATTGTGTCATGTAAATCAGCACATTTTCTCCTGGTTTTTGAAAGATTATTCTAAATATAGACAATAGATTCTGAGAGCTACTGATTTTGTTCTACTAGCTTGAAATCCATTTTTATTATTCTTCCCTGTCATCCCTTGGGAGCTTGAAAGAAACAGACCTTGGGATAACTTTATCCATCTGTTTTTGAAGCTGTTAATTGGCAGATTAATGACAGTTACTCAGTGTAGCCAGTGTCTCCAAACCCTTCTCATCACTCCCACTCACCAGAACTCTCCATCGTTCTCAACTGTGAGCCCCAAATTCTTGCGCTCAGAATCGCTGACTTTCTTCCACTCTTCAGAACTAAGAGGAAATTATTTTAAAAAAAGAGAAAAAAAATCAAAACAATAAAGATGATTAATAACTTAAAATAAAAACTCTCACCTAGAAAAAAAAATTGAAGTAAAAATCTCTCCTGGTCCATGGTTTTAAAAAGAATATCAGAGTACTAAAAGGGCAAATGATATTGATGAAAGTGTGAGGCTTTCAGGAGGAATTTTAAAACATGAATTGATTTGAAAGCTACTGAAAAAGAAAGAGATTAATAGGAAATAGGCTCAACTAGAGCAGAACTTTATTGATTTCCTTTGTCACACCCTCCATTAGGACTCTTAAACACTTAAACAGCTGGTTTCCAAGGTCACAGGAGATTGACTCCACTCCCTGAAGGCCCCTCAAATGAAACCTGGTTTTCCTCCTCGGGAGATTATTGAATGCTTCACTTAGACCAGAATATTCTCTTTGTCTTTTAATCACCTTAATAAAACAGGCCTGAGGTCTGAGATTTCCCCGGGGGCCTTTGAGAAGAAACTGCTGGAGCCTGAGCAGAGTGTCCACTCTGCAGAGGGATATTCCAGTGCACAGACCCTTCAGGCACACAGAGCCTGAATTCAGCCTCCTGCTGAAACCCAAACCAGACCCCGTTCCTGCTGGGGTACACCAGACAAACAGAGCCACAACTCCCCCCTGCCCCTCCAAAAGCACTGGAGGCTAAAGCTGAAGGAGGCTGGAAGGAGGGAAGAGAGGCTGCTCACCCCAACAGCCATTTTCTTAACCTGTTTAGAAATTGTCAATTTAATTCTGTTAGACCAAAAACCATGGGCCACCATCAGAGTTCTCAGTGCTGGCGTGAGTGGCAGCTGTGCCAGGCTACTGGAGAACCCTAAGGGCTTCAGTTAAACAAGACACAGCAGCTCTTTTGTGCATTCTCTGCATTTCACCCAAACCAGACTCTCTGAAAGGAGTAGATTTTTGCTAGCTAAAGCATATATTATAAGAAATTAATATGCTGCTGTTAAGAACAGTGCAATGTTAAATACCAAATGCTAGCTGGTGAGCCCAGTGCTGAACTGTCACATATTTTTCATGTATAAATCACCCCTGATGGGAGACATCCCCTCCAGCAACCATGTCTCTTGCTGTGGAGGTACCTGCTAAATCCATGGGCGGGCCATGAGACAATTAATTAGAAAGTTAATTAGAAAGAAATCACAAATATGGCACTTTCACAGCATTTTTCACCAGCCACTTAAATTATCTACATGACTTTTGCCATCCCCAGCAGCTGGAAATGACAGGTGAGAAACTGAGTCACAGACACACTCAGTGGTTCTTGACTCCTGAGCTATTTTTCTTCCCATGTTCCAGTGGGCCAGAAGAATGATGTAAACAGTAAATAAGGTCCAGGGAGCCATAGACTCCTCCAGGACATGCTCATTTTCTCATTTCCATCAGAGGAAAATGGACAGAGATGCACAGAGGTCCAGCCATCTCTGAGCATGGGTGTGTGCCACCAGTGTTTACCCACAAATTGCAGTGCCCCAGCACTGCTTCACCCTTGGACACTGGGTTTGCAGCCCTTACCTGTCACTCCAGGCACCATGCCATTCTTTTTTGCCCCAGGGATTCCTCAGCCTGACCATGAAGAGCTTTTCTGCCTTGAAGGAGAACACCAGGCTCTCCCCGAGGCGCAGCTTCCTGATGGCAGTCACGGAGTAGGCATGGCCCACGATCAGCCCCATCTCTGTCTCTGCCTCACTGGGCCGGCCAGGGGACTCCTTGGGCATGAAAAACAACAATTAAACAGAAAGAACCCACATATGTGAGGAACCTGATGTGGTAGCAGCTCTCTGGCCACAGAGAGAAACAGACAACCTTTCAAGGCATCGTTCTGGGAAAGGCTGTGAGATCTGAGAAAAGAATGAGAAACAATTCTCACCTTCACTTGCTGCACCTGGCGTTGTGAACATGTGGAATGTGTTATGGACATTTGTTTACCAAAGGGTGGTTTCTTAATTAGCCAATGGTGATGGTGTTTTAACTAAAGCACTAATTAGGTCCACCTGTAGCAAACTAGGGTATAAAAGTATGGGTTTCTTAATAAAGAAATGATCAGCCTTCTGAAATACATGGAGTCTCTATCAATTATTACCCAGCCAGGGACCTGCTGTGCCGACAACCTGACAGCTCCATGTTCAAGGGGAAGGACAAGAAAAAATTGTTTTTCATTCTCTTCCTGAGTGATTTTACTGTGCATAATAATAACAGCACTGGGAATCAGAACTAGGGGCTCACTAGTGTGGTGTTGTTAGTGCCAGATAATTCCAGTGCCAGACAATGCCAGGGCACAGGGGAATCCTGTCTGCTGCAGCCAGTCTGTCTCCTCCTGGCCTCAGAGTTAGAGACAGGGCTGATGGAAAATCAGCCCTCCCAAAATCTTGGCATTTCTACCAAGTGGCCCTTCTGGACACTGATGGCTGTGCCCAGACTGGTGTCCTCACCTGGGCACTCATGAATTTAGCTGGTGATCCAATGGTTGTTCTTGTGTTGGAATAAATTAATAGGAAGAACTACTGGCAGTGAGTGAAAATGGGAGAGCACAAGTAAAAAAGCTTCCAAGCCATTTGTGTCCTGTACCTCACTCACTCCTGGCAGGGCTCTCTTACGTGGCAGAGGGAAGATCTGTAGGGTGCTTTAGGAACTGGGTTTGCTCATCATAAACTCCACTAAGAATCCCAGTTTCCAGCAGTGATCAGGCTGTCCCTATACTGTCCTGTTGGATGACCTGGGCCTGATCAGATGCTGATCTAAGAATACATAAAAGTAGTCAAGCCCTGAAAAAGAGTGCAATTTCATTTAAGGCATCCAAATCTCCTGATCTAAACCCAGAAAAGCAGCACCATACAAAGATGTTGGAGTTGTTTTGATGGTCCTGGATCCAGATTCTCCTCACCTTGACAGAATCCAGCCAAGCCATCCTTGAGTCTCTCTCATCTATCACCCACAGGGCCTGGAAACACATTCCCTTGGACATCAAGGAAGGAAGATTTGACTCAGTGCAGATCATTGTGTGTAACCTTGTAATTACCTAATTAATGTTCAATCAAGCTTTGGCTGGGGTGGAGAGAGCAAGAGGTATGGCCTCTTGGTGTTACTAATGCAAATATTTAAATATAAATACATTTTTATCATTGCACATTAACATATTAGTATAAATATATGAATATTTAAATATAAATAAGGACTCACCACAGGTATTAAATGCACACAGTATTTCCTCAGATATTTTTACCCATTTCAAAATTTAACTGGTCTAAACAGACAAGGTCCTTGTCCTAAGGCAAATGTTGCACTGATACAACAGTGCTCAGTCCCCAAAGGTAAGAAATCACATTAAAAAAAAAAAAGGGAGCGGGGGAAAGGAGAAATTCCTATCAAATTGGAACTGACAGATGGGCTGGCAACTGTGAGAGTGTCACCAAGGCCTCTGTGCCTCTCGCTGACAGCAGCTCCCATGGAATCAGCTCAAGTGCTCCCCAGCCTGGCTGACATCCCCCTGGCTCTGGGCTCCCCCAGTGTAACACTTTCACTGGCATTTTTCACAACTAACAGCAAACAAAGAGTCCTTGACAGCACAGGAGTCTGTAACTTCTCCTGCTGCCTTTATCACCCCCAGGCTTTCCTCACTGCTGGCCTTTCCCACCTCATTCTGAAGATACTTATTTATTTCTTTATTCAAATGAGATATTGGAGCATTTCCTGTCTGTTCAGATTTCCAAATGGTGATGCTCAGGGCCATTCTGTAATCCAAGGCAAATGATGACATGTTTGTAAGGCAGCAATGAAGCCACTTGAGTATTAAATATTCTACACCTAGCAAGCTCCACTGGGTGTAAATTACATCAAAACATGACAAATGCAGGCAAACTTAGAAATGGCCTCTCTGTTATCAATGTTTAGAAGCATTTGTGTTCAATTTGGAAGGCAGAAACATAATGCCAGGAATCAGTGAAAGCATTACAACTGCCTAATGAATTGCTTTTTAAAATACAGCTCCCTGTACTGAGTCAATCAGCTCAGCAAATTCTTGTTAAGAAACAGAAGTGCTCTAGCATTTGGGAGCAGCCCATCATTCTGGAAACAGTGTCTGCAGTAACAATTCACACCAGGCACTCTGCTCTGCCAGCCTGCTCTGGGCAAATCAGATGGAATTCTTGCAAATACAAATTCAGGCCTTATGAAAAAAAGGTAAAACAGAACCCAAAGACCTTGAAGCTTTTGTTTCTGAGCTGTTTCCTGATGTTGCTGGAAGACACAGTCCCTGTTCTATCTCAGGGTGGAGTTTGTGTCCCTGAAGGTACCAGGTGTATCAAATTCAGGGTGCCCCCAACGTGAGGAATGACTGGCATCTGACTCCATGATTCAGAAGGCTGAGAAATTGCTTTATTAAAACTATACTATATCACATTAATACTATATTGTAACTGCACTAAAGAGATACTAAAGAAAAACCCATGACTGTCTGAGACAGCCAGGACACAGCTTAGAGCCAATTGGCCAAGGAATGAAAACAATCTCAGCAGAATCCAACTGACAAATCACTTCATGTGAACAATCTTCCTAACACATTCCACATGTGCCAAACAACAGAAGCAGAGAATAGAGATAAGGATTGTCTTATCTTCTCCTCTCTGTGCTTCTCACTGCCTTCCCAGGAAAAATCCTGTGTGGATTTGTGAATGTGGAAAATCCTGTGTGGATTTGGGAAAGCTTGTGCCTGCTGCTTTCTGTGAAGAGAGCTAAGGCCATATCAGGTGTTCCTCTTTGGTGCCTGATGCAGGACCATGCATGGCCAGGGCCAGATCAGCAGGTAACATTCTGAGGAACCCCAAAACCAGCTGATTTTCTGCTGTTCTTGACAATCCCACAACTCTCTTCATACTCAGAGGAATTTCTGAATGAGTCATCCTCATTCACAGACACGGAAATTAAAGCAAAATATTTAGGTGATTTAAGTAAGATCAGCCTTAGCTAAGGCCTTAAACTGAAGCAGGGGCCATGGGAGGAAGGTGCTGAAGTGCACTTGGATGCCAACCCTGCAGCTCCTAGAAAATGATCCTTTTTCTGTGGGCTGCTGGGTTAATGATTCACAATAAGTAACTTAAAAAAAAAAACATTTAAAAGCAACTTTTAAGGAAATATTCAGGTGCCATTGCAGTTTGTTAGCCCTTCACATGATAACAGCTGTGGACAAGGTGAGGATTTCTGCACTATCCAGCCAGGGCCTGACACTGCAGACTTAGAAGGGGAGTTCAGTCCAGCTGTCAATGGTTTGCCTCCTGTGGCCAGGGGCTGGGCCATAGGTCCTTTGTGAAGCATAAAACATCCTTTGGGAGCTGTTATTCATCCATCTTCTAGCACAGGACTGGAGAGGGGTAAATCTTCCTCAGAAACCATCCCCTCTCTACTGACTACAGGAACTTCAGGGCCATGGGCTCCTCATGTGGGCACTGAGCCCCACATGAGCCAGCACAGGCAAGCTCTGCAGGTTAATGCCAGCAGGGAGATTATTCCATATATTGACTGTATTGAATATATTCTATATCTAATAGCATTGCCTGAGTAGCCAGGTGAGTTCAGCCTTTCAGCTCAGCTCCACTGTTACCCTGGGCTGCAGTGGCACAACCAAAGTCAAGAAGTCTCAGCAGCTCTGTGCCAGAGCTGTTTTCTCTAAAGAGATTTCTCTAAGAAATAAAGCAGTTGAATGCTGCTATCTGCTGTGCAAATTAGGGTGGATTTACCTCAGGTCAATTCACAGCTGTGATCATTCAGAAAAAAGAATTTCAGACACACAGTGAAGTGGCAGCACAAGCACTTGTGATTGTATTTAGTGGCTCCTGAAGCTGGAAGCACTTGTTAGATTTCTCCATACAAAGCTTTTCCAAACATGCAAAGGAATTGCAAACATGCAATATCCTAATAAAGGTATTTCTTCCAGTATATTTTCATTGAAATAAACCCTAAAAATCCAGCTCTCTATACTCACTGAAATGGAGCAGCTGATGAACCCTCCTCTTTTATGCACTTTCATCAAGTCTTCAAACAGCTTCATCTGCTCAGGAATAGCCTCACCATATTTGCCCTCTTCCAAATTGATGGATTCTGCCACTGCTCCAGTGAAATCTACCAGGGCTTCTGCAGCACAGCCTCCATCCAGGGCTTGGTAGGATCCAGCCAGCCTGGGAGCAACACAGAACATTCTCTGTTTACAGGGGGCTGGAACAACTGCTCTAATTTGGCTTAAATGTAGGGAACATGTTTGTGTCTCACCAAGGAAAAAACAGAACAGAACATAAAAGCCTGAGCAAACTGCAGATAAATTTTCCCTAGTTTCTAGGATCCTTAAGGATTTGGCCTGCTGAAGTAGACTGCAATGCAGTCATTTATGATTTTAATAGAGATTACAGAAGGAGTTTTCAGTCTTTTTTAGGTTCTCTTCCAGCAGCAAAACGAAAACCTATGGAAAGTCTGACAGAACTGAAAGACAAAACAGCCAAAGGGACAACACTGAGGAATACAACCACAAGGAACCAGCTCATACTTAGCATAAGCTTTCTCCAGCAGAGCACTCCAGAATTCATTTCTCACATTGGAACGGCAGTAGATGAGCTCCCCATGCTCAGTTGGCAGCAGATCATCCACCACCACCTCTGTCCACTCTCCAAAGCGCCAGAAGCGGAAACGGAAAATCCCAGCGTATTTCTTTGGGTTTTTGGGGTCCCACTCCTGCTCGTTATAGTCTGGAATCACCTGAGAAACCATGCAAGGGTGTGAAAAACACCAAATCATTTGTTTTTAGAATTTTAAAAGTTTAATAGTAATAAAATGGTTATAAAAATAGTAATATAATTACAGTAATAAAAATCTGGACAATTAGGATTAGGACAATATGAGACAATAAAAACAAAGAGTTACAGGCAGTCCAGGTACTTCTTTCTGGGCAAAATAAGCCCGAAAAAGGACACATGTTAACAGAGGATTAACCCTTAAAAACAACAGCCTGTTGCAAGTTCATACACCTTATACATGATGCATAAATTCCATTCAAACAAGGATTATGTCTGGTCAGTGTCAACTTCTTCCTCTGAACCCTGACGGCATCTTCAGGGCTGAGCAAGGCAGGAAGAAGTTAGTTTCTTCTGATAATGGAGCAATAAATTCTTTTTTGCTGAAAGATGTAGGTGTCCTGTGGCCGCTATACCTCATTCCTGTCTTTAAGAAAATATCCCACATACGTAGTTTCTCTTTTAACATTATGTTATAACCTAAAACTATATTTAACACACTACTTAAGAAAATTAATACGGCATAACTTTCTAACATAACACATATAATATTCATTTTAATATTTGCGAAAAGCCGATCATAAAATACTTCACAAAGGGGAAGTTCAGCAAGTGCACTGTGCTGAGGTTTATTCCCTGGGCAGACTGCCCTGGAACATGGCAAAGAAAGGAAAGATTTGAATCCACCAAAATTCACCCCTTGTTAGTTCTAGGGAGAAAAACAACCAAGGTTAGCTTGGTTTGTCAGATTTATCTCCTGCACCACACACAGCAATCACCCACCTGCTGCCAGAGGCTTTTCCTCAAAGCCAGGCAGGAGCACGCAGCCACAAACCAGCAGTTCCCCAGCTTGCCCTGGTGGAAGTCGTGGGAGCTCATTCCATCCACAAGCAGGTGGGGGTCTTCACAGAGGTCCTGGCAAAGCAAACCAGAGATTGCTGGAGACTCCACTCCCAAAATGACCACAGCATCCTTCCAGTCAAGAAAAGCAGCAGGAGTTGTTGCTGATGCTGCTGACACCTGAGGTCTGAGCTTCTCCTTGTCAAGCCTCTAAAGAGGGGAATGCTGCTTCAAGATTTTAGCATTTATATATTTCAATCCTGTGCTGCAATAGTGCATAACTCTACACTTCATACAAAGTGTTAATTACTGTCTTCACACTTTGGTCAGACAGAACAATCCCTCCGGGCCTGGAACCCAAGGAAAGCCTACCGCCTCAGGCCCTGAAAAGTATAAACAAAAGTGAATTGGGAAGAAGCAAACTGAGGCAATGTGACTTCATTATCTGAAGCTGTAACTGGGGAATGAACCTCTGATATGCAAATAGACCAAACTTATATCAGCCCAAAGAACTCGTGGCCATCGTGCATCTTGGGTGTAGCCAATGCGAGGCTCCTGTACTGCCCAAGGTGAACCTGCTAAAGGCCTTTAATAAATACACACTTTATTCTCTTAACTTTGTCCAGCCTCTGTTCTAGTAGCCACTCCAAGGCATCATCTTGACTGCCATTCCTTTGGCTGACACACTGGAAACCCTCCCTCACCAACAGCCTGGGTCACTGCAGTGCCCCCAACCCCTCAGCACCACAGCAGGAAGAGAACACTCTTTGTGCAGCACACTTTTCATTCTCTGGGTCTCATAACTCTCAGGATCCGGCTCCTTTAGAACTATTTGTCCCTCCTTTCCTGGCTCCATCTCTATCCACACGCAGATTCCCACCAAAGCATGGCTGGATCTTCCTGGGAGGTCTCCCTGCTCCTGCCTGGATTACCCCTTGCACTAAAGGGAGAAGTCTCCATTTCATGGACCATGGGAAAGCCACAGGGGTGCATTTTGCAGCAGTGGTGTGTTTGTCCCCACAAAATCCTTGGCAGAGGTGCCCTGCTGAATGGAGGGGGAGCCTCCCACCAAGACTTCAGCAGAAAGGAATGGGACCATCCCTAACTGCAGGGTTCAACCCAGTGACTGCTCCTGACACTCTCCTGTCAGTCACTGCTCTTCCTGCCTGGCTGAGAAGATGGCAGAGAAGGCGGTGGCAGGAAATTCTGCTCTTTCACAGTTTAATAACCCTAAATTTCAACACTGTGGAGATGATTCTGTATCCAAGCATTAGAAATGCAGAATAAATAACTCCACCTCATCTCAAAATGGCAGGAGAGCCCAGATTTCCTGCAGTCTGTCCTGTCTGCCATCAGCAGCAGAGGAAGGAGCTGTGCTCCTTACCTATGGATTCTCTCTGCCCTTTGATAATTAAAGATGATGATCCCAAAACAGCAGGACTGCAACCCAAGCATGGCTACAGACCACAGGCATCTATCCCTCTGATGTGACTCTGACAAACCAGTGCCAAATGAACCCTTTTCCAGAGGAAAGAGCCACCTCAGTGCTCAGCTGGTGGAGAAACGTGGGCTGGTTTAGCCAATGGCACCTGAAATCAGCTCACAGCATGGAATTCATAGAGCTGCAGCCATCCTCCTTAAGGAAATAATATTTTTGGCATGAGACTTTTATCATTAAATAACAGCTGACATTTTAAATGTCTTTTGGGAAACAAGCAACTGATCATTATATGACACTGCTCTCCTGTCAGGAATTCTCATGTGTCTGCACTTAGAGAAAACACAAAGCTTATTAAGAGACCTAAACAAAAATCTGAGTAACCAATGATGCCCAGGAGGAAAACTGAGCACGTACAAGACGCTCACCAGCATCATGGACAGATTCATGCAGCCTCCCTGGGTGCTCTGACATGGAATGGCACTTCAGAGATGTAAATCCTCCTAGCTGCAGGGGTGGACAGCAGTTGGCCCCTTGGCTTTCATGGTGGTAGCACACATCCCACATCCACGTGGGCCAGATTCCATTTTATATCCCATTTCCTGGCATCTCTGGCATTAATAATTTCTAGTTTGCTTTTCCTTTCAAAATGCTATTTTGTTTGAATAATAAATGAGGGATAAATGAAGCCATTGGGGTTAAAACTGTCCAAACTTTTCCGTCACTAGTAGAAGCCAAAACTTTAATTAGTTTTAGAAAGAAATTAAGCACTGCTGTGTATTATGAAGATCTTATTTGGTTTGTTTTGATAAGAATAACCACATTAAACTGCCATTTTTTAATTGAAGTGTGTCTTGCATCTCACAAAGTCCTCAGAGGAAAAACAGAGCAGCATGTGCCAACTGCCAAAATTTATGGATGAGATCAGCATTTGCTGAGTGCTGGGGTCCAAAGCAAACATGGAACAGCAGAGCTCAGAAACAGCACCTCCCTGCTCACACCAGAGCCACCAAATTCTCCAGGATCCTGCCTGATAAACCCTTTCTGGTTAAACCACCTAAGAACCCTGGAGTTCTGGGGCTAAAGAACAATGTAAGAAAATGCCACCAATTCTGTTTATTTTCTTAATTAATAAATTAATAAATTGGTGCCATTAATTATCTTGTCATTATAACAGCTTCTGTGGTGACTGTCACTGTGTGGCTCAGATGAGACACAACAGCACTGAGGCACAGCCTGGAGCTCATTTCAGCTCTTTGCTCTCTTCTGGGCTTTGTGATTTTCACCACTTATGCCGTACAGTAAATTCTTAGGAATACTTTTATCTATGTAAGTCACAATTCCCCCAATACAAGTTAGAAATGTGCTATTTCAATATATTATTCTGCAGTCCTTGTGAGGATCTTTAAGTGTTTTTGGTTGCCCCAAGCATGCAAAAAATAGAAATTTAAAAGAAAAAAAATATATAAAATATATATATTTTTCTACAATGCTCCCAGCAGTTAGGATATATAATGTTCCCAATTTAGGATTGTTGAGGATCAAGCCTCAAGCCAGTTATTATCAGAGGAATTACAAGGAGGAGACACTGACAGGAGATGTGATCCAGGCACTTCAGAAGTCCCAGTCCCTTCTCCCTCTTGCTGCCTAAGCACCCAAGCACTGGGGCTGGGAGCTCCACCAGAACCTCTTCACAGAATTCACAGAATCACCGGGTTGGAAGAGACCTTCAAGACCATCAAGTCCAACCCAGCCCCAACACCACAACTAAACCCTGGCACCCAGTGCCACATCCAGGCTTTGTTACACACACCCAGGGATGGGGACTGCACCACCTCCCCGGGCAGCCATTCCAGAACTTTATCACTCTTTCCATGAATTTTTTTTTCCTAATGTATTCCTCCTTTGCAGACACAATGGTTTAACCCCAATCCTTTTTCTCAGGATCATCTTGCATCATCCATGCTCTGAAGGACAGAGATATCCTCCCATTCCCAAGGAAACGTTTAAAGGCAGTTACAGGATCCTGCTACACACCATTAACATTAACAGCCACCCTATTTCTGACACAGCACCACAATAAAAGCAGTTGTTGCAGTATTTGTGCCTGCAGGGAGCATCCCAGATGCAGAACCCTCCCCAGTGGTCCCCTCACACACGTACACAGTGAAACAAGCACCATCTGCAGAGCTCTGCCTGGGCTGGCACGGGCTGGAATTCCGTGAGGTTGGTGGTTTCAGGGCCTCGTGGTTCTGCTGATGCTCTCCCTCATTGTCCCACCAGGCTTTCATTTGCATGACAGAAGTCTGGTTGTGTCACCTCCCATCCTTGCTGTGTAGTTGGAATATCTGACATTCAGACACTGATGCTCTGAGGAATAAAGTGGCTCACAGACCCCTTTTTTTTCTGTTTTTTAGTGGTCCCTTTATTTCTAACAGACCAACCTGGTCAACTGGCTTGCAATCCTATTCCAGTCTGGATCCTACAGAATTACCATACCTGCCTTCCTAGCCCTTCATCCAAGCAGTAATGAAAATTCTGATGGGGGAGATCCCTCTAGGACTCCAGCAACAGAGCTTGAGAGTACTCCAAGTAATTTATTTCACCAGCTATGCATCCCCATGAAAGAGTTTTGCAAAACAATGTGAACCATGGGAGACAACAGACACCCATTTCACTGGAGCCATGAAATGGTTTGTGTGTTGTTCTGCCACAATTCCCTAAAATTAAAAAAAAGAAAAATTAAAAAAGAAAGGAGGGGTTTTATTTCAGACCAGATGCACCACTGAAAGTACAGCAGGTAACTGATTGTGCACTGAGACATGCATTGACTCAGAGTAATTTAGCTAAAGAAGAAAATTCCCCTTAGCTCTGAACATGCATCTCCTGGTGTGAGTATTACCAATATTAATTAACTAAAAGTTATGCAGTATTGGTTAAAAATAGGGAGAAAGACATTCAAAGGGTTAATTAATTAGCTGTGTGTCTTCGCAGGAGTTAGCTGAAGCTGCACTGTAAAATAATATTATTTATTGGATGATCTTAGATGTCCAAGAAAAGGGAAAGATGATTTTTTAACAGATAAAGATCTGTCAACTGTCTTAGAGACAGACCCTAATTATTCAGAGATTATACAATGTCTATATAACAAAGATTATATAGAGATTCAGTCAAGGGAAGAAGACAGAAGAGCAGTAATTGTTTGCAACTAAGATTTTCAAAGGTTTCTGTAGTATTTAGAGCTTTTCTCCAGCACCTTTAAAGAACCCAGCCCTAGCATGACAAATAATCCACCTTTGCTTGCACATGAGGCCTGCAGAGGCAGGCACTATCAAACTGGTCTACTGATCCCAGTCACCATTCCCTTAAATTCTTTAAAGCAGGTTGATTTCTGTCAGAGCTGAGAATTGCTTCCATTTTCTTCCCTTCTCCCACCCTCACATCATCCTGAGACAACTCCTGCAGAGGCAGTGCAGGGAGCAGGGGGAAAGGCAATTCTTTCTGAACATGGATGGAAAATTCAGCTTTGGCTGCAGCTGGCACTGAACCACCCTCATCTAAAGGAGGACACCCAGTGGCCCTGGAGCTGAACAGGTAAATGGGATTGTCCATCCTATAGCAAGCCCCAGCTGTGCTG